TCACTTAATTCCGAATCTCGTGTTCAAATCTGCCATCTATACGAATCACTTTCGATACTTTAACCTTGTCAAAAACATCCTTCACTTCAGAACTTCACAGTGCCTTTTCTCCAAATGAAATATACCCACATATAATTCATGTAAATTCATATCAAAATCTCTTTCAATCCGCATCACGCATATATGATTCGATTCTCAAATACCTAAACATATAACTGTATCAGATAGACGTTTACTTTCTTGTTTGCAGCCTCTTCGGCCTTCTTTTCATTTGCTTGTGCTTCCATTTCCTTCGCTTTTTTTGCCAACGCTTCCTGTCGCTTTTCATCAACAAATTTCTGCACGGCCTCACGTCTAAATTTCGACTTCTTATTCATGTTCTCACTTGTGCTTCGAAAATGCATTGATTTACGCATCACTGAAGTGCTGCTATATGATTTGATTTCATACAAATGATACCTTTGCAATATGTCTTTTCTTCAGTAAATATTAACAATCATATGATCCATTTTAAAAACTTAATTTATTCTGTTGTTGCAGTCAAGAATTCCTTCTTGAAAATACCATTTCTTTAAGAGTTTGCAAATTTTCGCTGTTCAAATGATAACTTCATTGAATGACTACTGTGTATCAAGTAACTGAAAGTGAGTAATCAACTGACTTTGTAATGCCAGCCTTCATTAAACGATTGATTTGGAGGCCATCCGGAATGTAAGTTGATTTTCCTGCATCCTGCTTCCTTTCCCTTTCTCTTTTCGGGCGATTACCATTCTCTGCGTCCGATTTTTCTTCAATTGTTTCAATAAAATTATTTCATTACACACCAACAAATTCCATGCTTTCACACTCAATTTCACTCCAGAATTGAGACGTTCCATGGAGATCAAACATCTCTGATGGTAGATCAATATACCTTTAACCTTTTACTCAACTGATCCTGTCATTTTGCATTTGATCTTTCAATTGGCGGGGTATATCAGTGCTTTTTTCCACTAGTGCTCATTTTCAGCCCTTCTATTTCTCACAGATGGTTAGTCTCTGACCAGTTTCACTCGGTCTCGGAACTTGATCTCGTTGACCTCTAAACTGTCTCCTCTGATGACCACTAACTCTAATAGACTATTTTTGTAATCTCCAAAGAAAAGAATCTCTTTCGAATTATCAATAGATGGATGGATCGTCTTCAGCTTTATCAGAGTTACTTTGATAGCTTATCAGCTGATCAGATCAGCTTGTTAATAGCTGACCGGATGGATGGANTGGTGGTGCATCTCGTAAACCGTTTAAAGGTTTTCGTTGGAGCAGTTTAGTGATTCGTTTCGTACGACATTCGTCGCAAAATAACCACATATGCCTGGCGATTTCGATGGCATCCTCGGATTGATTCGCTATTGGACAGTGGGATACAGACTGATTGCCTCGAGCGAGCATCTGAATCTGATCTGAATTTGTATCTGTTCAACTCAACTGAATTCATTTGTTTGATCATATACGAATCATCACTACAATTCTGCGTGAATCACACATCACATGCACATGACATTTCACTGCTTTCATCACTACCTTGTACAGTCAGTGACTGATCCGAGAAACTCTTCGTCACATCCACAATTGTGTTTACTCTTCAAATTCTATTTGAGGTTAATACTAGCAAATCGAAATAGTCTGTTCCGTGCAAATGGCATGTGAACAGTTGCCACGAAATGATTTCATCAGAGGCAAATGGAAGAAGTTTATGCGGAAATTAATCGTAGACAAGAAAACAGAACATAATTAGAAGGGTCACGAATGGAAAATGGTAAATGTATAGCAAAGGCATGTTCTCTGATAAATTACTTGTGCAGTTTTCAGTGCATTCTCGAGATTTCTCAAAGGCTAAATAAAATAAATCTTAATTCCGAACTAGAAACGATGTTGAACTTTCACTGGCGGTTATAATCCGCATTTGAAATCAACAAAATGCAAATTCTAATCTGCTCGAAATGATCTCTTTTCGTGAATTCAACGGGTGATTTCCCATTTTGTCATTATTTTTGCCTTTCGAATAGTTATGTATTGCGCTTACACTAGTGAATTACTGCTGATAATTTCGATTGAACTTATTCAATATTTCACAGTGATATGTGCAAAATTTACGAGATCCTGATCACATCTCAGCATAGCTCAAATGATCAAATTTGCGCTGATTTGTCTCGATCAGTTAAGCAACTGATCATGAAATAGCTAAAATACAATGTGATCGATGGACTTATCACGGAAAATTTGCTGAATATCTAGCTTAATAAATAAACCAGAAGCAGTCTCATGCATTCATTAAGTACAGATATGTATGTCTATGGCCAAAGATAAAATGGCCAAATGCTATACAATAATCATTTTTCAAATATTCATCCGTATATCTCACAAACTCGTCCTGATTGTAAGCCATTCATCTA